TTATTCCTCAGTGTTTATACATACACAGTCACTCACTGTTATTAACTACAGTCAGGTAACGATGCTCTACCGTTCTAAAGTTTGGAATCACTTGCCACATTAATCATTTGTCTTATACAAAATTTATAAAATGCAGATTTATGTATTATAAACTAGTCACCAAGACATTTCTAGTTGCTTTATTTGAAACTGAAGTATTTTGGAAAACAAGAAGTTACAAAATGATTAATAATATACTTAATCTATTTACAATATTTGCGATTTGATTGCTTTTGAAATATTGGATATTCATGCATTTATAGGTTAATTATAGGATCAGCCGATGCCGATCCAATATTTAAATGCTTTAAGAAGAGCTTTTTGCAGCTCCCATAGTGGCGATTGTGGACTCTAACTTTAATGAATATAATTAAATAAAATATTTTTCTCAATAATCTGTTATCATATTAACTAGGAGACTATTGGCTCTCTGTAGGTGAAATGTTGTGACTTTGTGTTGAGCTGCTAGTGAGAAATGAGGATTAGAAACGATTTACATGTCTCCATACAGACGGCTGTGCTGAGACACTACAGCATCTTTTTTGATTTAAAAAAGTCAAGAACTGCCACAATACACAGAGCATGTTTACAAATGCTGACCCCCCCTCCCCTCAACACACAGAAAATACAGCTCACGTCAGGCTTTGTAAGTCTTATGTTTCAATCATGCAAATGTATTCCATCTGTGTTTCTGAAGAAAAAAAATATATTGTTCAACTGAGAAACTGCATTTTCTGGCTGCTGTGAATGAAAAAGGGGTTTATTGAAGCACTGAAGATGAAGCATCTAGAAGTCGGCGGTCATCCTTAAACAATTTAATCATGCAACTGTTTTATTGAACGCTAACAACTTCACATCACACAGTGCGAATATGTGCTATTTCAGAACAGATTTGTTACAGTGTTGGACAAAGCATGTGTTTAACAATTTAAGCCAAAAATGTGTAGATTTTTATTTGGTTTGCCACCTTAGAAGAAGAAAATGTATGAATAGGCATAAACTTCACACTTCAGTCACCTTCTAAGGTTACACTTAAACAAATCAATAATAAGTGCACTATAACTGAGCTTGCAAGCTTGGTAAGAAAGCATCACAGTGCATCCAACAATAAAGACAGCATGGTGCTTCTTTTATACAGTGATAGAAAACACAGAAGCACATAGAAAACTCAGATCCTCTATAACATTTTTGCCATATTGCCACATCTCAAACAAAAATCTTCAAACTTACTCCAAATTGTTACAATGTAGACACGATAGTATATTTTAAATTAATGAGGTTATTTTTTTTCATAACAAAAAAAAAATAATAATAAAAATTCACCTCTCTTTTCTCTGAATGTCTCTCAATGGATTCCCGAGGGGACGTTTGGTTCAATAGGGTTAACAGTGCACTGGAGTCTATAAATGCCCCTGTAATTCTCACATGATGAACAAATTATGGATAAAGAAAAATGTTACTTATTTCCAGAGTCGGGAAACTCCAGAGTGAACTCACACCCAGCACACTTTAGCAACACAGAAGAAACCTCTACAAATGGCTTTCATTACAGCATGAGTAACAGCGAGTCTGGTTACAATTACAACCACTACTCCACTCCAGATGCTAATAGGAATTTTATGGGGCCAAAGCAATGCCACTGTCTGGCCTGCTGAATCAGTCTGTATAGCATTCACTCCCGAGGCACTGGCACCCAATGAGCTCAGTATTTAAAAGGCTAAATCAAATTTACTCAAATTTCCCCTCACCCCAAATGGAGAAGATCTGCCAAGACATGTTTGCTGCCTGACGTTTTGGAGCTACAAGTAATGGAAGCTTAAATACACCAATTACCAGCAAACTGCCAGCCTAAATCTTCACACATTCGCCTCAAAGCATGTTGGGTTTTTAAAACTCCTAAGGACAGGCTACATTTACTCACTTCTTTAACATAAGATGTGACGTAAACATTGTTAAAGATGTAAAACATACCATTCACTGCCCGATCCATACAGTCCATATATGGAAACTAAACCGCATAAATAGCCCATTTAGAATTTTTTGTTAGGTCATGAAAACCAACACATTTACATATATCCGCCCATTCTCACTGAAGTTATAAGGAGTGTTTCAACATAGACTGCTTTTCCAGTAAGGCACCATACAGAGCATCTAGTCAGAATAGAGTTCATTCACATATATCCGTGTAAAGGAAAAGCTTGAGTAATTCTAAGGAATATAGAAAGGTTGGAAAATGGTCATATAAAAATGAATTATGACTATTTGTGATACATAAAAGCACACAAATATAAGTGGACTCAAGTGGAGAACAAAAAAGAACAGTGAAATGTGGGCCCCTAAATAGATGTGCTCATGTGATTTCTGGACAAAAGTAACTAAAATTAATACATCTTACATCTTGAATTTTGTCTTTACATCTGTCTATTTTTAATAGATAACGATATGTATACAGCGTCAAATTAATAATGTTATTTGTTATGTACAGTACAGAACATAAGCTGTTACCGTGAGACTCTGAGGTTAAAGTAGTAGTTAAAAGAGTCCAAACGTCAAATGTACACGTCACCCCTCACCAGAAATGTGGTCGATCAGCCAAGATATATTTGGTGAAAATAGTTTGCTTCTTTAGTTTTGCACTGGAGTTAATGTAACTAACACTGATTAGCATTGTGAAAACAGGCATGCCTAAATCATCACATGCTTGCTGCAAACCTGGTTAAGTTGCTAAGTAATTTCAAATAGACTGGCTTATGTGGTTTCTAACACGGTATGACACACTGTTATCTATAAAACTGGACAAAAGCACTGCCACTGCAGTCTTGAAGTCTAAAGCATGTAGTTACTTTTGTCCATTTTTAAAGATAACAGTATGTCATACACTATTATAATGTCCTACAGTGTCAGGTAAGCAAATCTATTTGAAGTCCCAAGGAACAAAGATGTTTATACTAAAATATTATATTAAACATACATCAAAGTTTGAATGAACAAGATAGAAATTTTAATAAAACAAGGCTTAAAAAAACGCTGATCGTATCTATCTAAGAATGATGTGGGCGTGGCCTAATATTCTGATGAGCATGTCTGATTGACATCTCTCAGTCCCACACTCTCATCCTGCTGCTCAAGCAGAACTAAATACAACAGTGTGAGCAGGGAAAGGTGAGTTAAATGGGCTCTACATATACAGTTAGTGTTGTGTATTACTACACTATGTTCACGAGTCGGCATCGTAAAAGAACAATATGTAAGATGACTCAACCTGTCGAAGTCACACTTCACACACCAAACAAACTGGGGGCAGCATATGACCACAAAGTTGCCCCTCTTCACTCCTAGGGGCAGCATGGTGCGTAGCACTGTAGCCTCACAGCATGAAGGGCCTGGGTTTGATTCCCCACCCGGTCAACCAGCGACCTTTTTGTGAGGAGTTTGCATGTTTCCACCCACAGTCAAGAGAACAGGAGATGCTAAACTGCCCCTAGGTGTGAATGTGTGTGTTTGCGCTGTGATGGCTCAGGATGTTTCTTGCCTTCCACCCACTGAGCCCTGTTATAGGTTCCAGCACCTCCCCACGACCTCTTCCCTCCTCCTCCTTACCAGTCTAGAAGAAATGTTGCGAGTTCAGCGTCAAACCTTATCCTATTACTCTCCAAGAGCTGTCTCCAGAGGTGGAAAGCAATGTCAGTGTTGACTCTTATTTCTACTTATGTCACTTCCTTTTCTTTGCTGCCAAACGTGGTTTCTCTGCGCGCGGCGGTGGTGATAATGGTCGCTTGCCAAAAGCTTCAGCTAACGGTGCGTTTACTGTTCCTGTCACTGGCTACCTGTCCTTAAATGGTCTAACTGTGGGTGGTACCTTTAACCTGATTGACAAAAGGTTAGAATATGCGCTTGAGGCAGTTCTACTCCTTCATCCTCTCATGTTGAACTAATGGCAGACTTGACACTACAGTGACTCACTATCACCTCTTGAGGTACAAAGTGGTATCATGAGACAGGCCAAGCCAGGGCTAGCTGGTTAGCATGCTAACCTCAGCAGACATCTCTGACACAATATCATAACTATTATTTCTTCACATTCTGTTGAGAATTTTAGTTAATTGTGGAATGTTTTAAACTGAAAATCTGACAAATTGCACCTTTAAACGAGGCTCTTATTCACTTTACTCCTGCAGGTGCATCCAGGAAGTACTGGCATGACCGGGTAAAGAAATGAATGAACAGAAAGATGACAGACAGGCAGATGAGGTAGCTTTTTTAGCTCGCTTTGTTTGTTTTGTTGTTCACTTTCACTTGGTTGTGAACTTTTGCTTGCCAAGACTTAAACAGAGGGAGGCATGGATTTGTCAAAGCTTTGTGGACAGGACAAACCACATCAGTCAAGTGAATGATGAGGGTACTGCTTACACAAGCGCTACCCAAGATTATGACCGCCCAGTTTACACATTCTGTTAGATGGAAATAACCAAGAAAAAATTCAAGCGAAAAAAGAACAAATCATTTTGTATGACATCATCGTTCATGTTATGTATATGCAGCTTATTCAAACACCAACTTATCAAAACACCTTCTTGCATCACTGTGTCTTGGCCGACTGGCTATGAATGGGATAAGGGGTAAAATGTGTAAAGAGATTTTCTTTATGTAACTGTTTATGTAATACAACTGCATGTTACACAAGTCAGTCCTAACCTTTTGTAATGTGACATTACATAATACACTACATTTAATTTTTGCAAGCCTAATTAATCCTGTTTAATTGAATTTAGTGCATAAAGTATGCGAAATGTTGAACGAAAGTCACTGTACACAAAATTTCTAGCACTACTAGTAGTTCTGGCAGTACATTGTGTCAAAATATTGTGGTACATATCATTGATGTATTGTAAAAATGTGTCATGAGTCATGATTTTCGCCATACCCCCCCTCCCCCCCTCCCCAACACTGTCTCTACTTACCCTAGCGTCTCCGTTGTTGCTTCTGGATGTGTGATTGAAGGCCTGGGCGGGGTCCTTGTGGTAGAGCTTCAGGCAGGAGTGTGGTGTGATGTTTCTGTAAACACAACACAAGCTGCAGGTCAGCGTGCACAACATAAATCAGGAGAATAACTCGGTGTGGCATTATTTATGGCTCCATCGTATACAAAACCGGTCTTGGTTAGGATTCCAGTGACTAGATCACTATTACGTAAACTTATTTCAAAACCTTTGATAGCATTAACTCCGAACATGCACAGAGATCTCGCTGTAAATACGTCAATGAAGCTCTAAATGTGAAACCGACAATTCGTCCAAATGCTTGCATGTTCACGCCTGTCAAATCGCACCAAAAATAACAGCTCTCATTTTGACAGACAGGTCACGGGGCATGTTGACACAAGTTTGTTCCCCATAACTTTCTAACCTGATAAAGAGCCAAGCCCCGCTCCCTTGTTAAAACACACACACACACACCCACACCCACACACGCACACCCACCTACACACACGCACACACACCTACACACACACACACACATGCTGGTGTGATGGATTGCTCTCCCTGAGCTTTCCTGTTGACTCGTAAGTGAGCTGCAGGGGCCAGTATGGTGGAGGGTGTGTATAAGGGAAACACCCAGCAGTCTGCACGCAGTCACACACACACACACACACACACATTCACACACACCCCATCCCGCAGCTAAATGAAGACTTCAGGCAAATATGCTAGACATGCTAATTTAGAGTGAAAGTTAGAAGCCAGTTAGCACTCAAGTTAGAACTAACCCATTCGTCGTGCGTGGGCATTAGGAGGCCAGACCCGGCCTAGACGAACACTGTGCCCCCTCAGCACGTGTCTTCACCAAAGGCACTCCAAAGCAATATTTATCTTAGAAATAATTTGCCTTCTCTTTTCTTTGTAGATAGTATTTGATCAACGTCACACTTGTCACTGCCACCATATTGTTGGCATATCAGCGCCGACCGCAGCGACGGCGGCACTCGTAGAGCCACTGATTGTATGAAATTAGTTAATAAAGTGTCCTGACAGATAAAATATAGCTGTGGTGTGTTGTGTGGGTCATTGCTGTAGTAACAACAACAACAAAAACCAAGTGATGTACAGGTTTATCCTGGCTGTAGGATGTAGTGAAGGGAAAAAGGCTGAAGAACTGAGCCAGCAAATAAACAGGAAAAACTCTCAACCATCTCCCACCAAAGTTTGCTAAGTAGACAGTCAGGTGAAAGGTGAAGTAGTTTTTTTGTAGTTTGTAGTTTTGTAGTAGTTTGTAGTTTTGCCCTTGATCATTTTAGAGTTTTGAGAATGGTTCACAATTGACAACTGACGCTGATTGATGATCGACTCTATGTTAACGTTGACTATTTAGGTCTAACTTTAATCTTTAGCTACACAATGAACACCGGAGCATCGGCAGGGCTCACATAACAAACTATTGTGAAGCTAACAAAGATTAACCGTAACCGTTCGTAGCTATTATGCACTGTTGTGAGTAATGGAGTAGCTGATGGTGCAAAAGACAGAATATCTCCAACTGTTACATGATTCTAACAATTTGTATACCAGCAATGTTTTCTCTGATGCAGTGTTACAAGGTAATTATAGAGGACTGGATATGTTATTGCAGGCAATAACACTTTAATTAGGACTGATTGATTTGGTACAGATCAATCATCTCCAATCAAACTGACTTTTTTTTCATATCTTGATTTGGAAGGCACAGCTAGCATTGACTGCTCATACTCATCATGCATTTTATTGGTCAACAACATGGCTGCGGGACACTTTTCTGGCTTTTCCGAATACTATCTGTTATTTCTATTTATGTTATTGCTATCATGACAAAACCTTGCAGCTCCAAACTAGTAGCTTCCCAAAAGCAGAAAAAAATCTTCTTAACTTTGAATGGAAATGAATGGAACAAGTAATTGAGAGCATTTGTATCGCCTTCCTGATCATGAAATTTTAACACAATGTAAATGGTAATTTACAATTGACCATAAAAAAGGACACACATGGAGATACAAGGTCTGTTTGATCTGACAGCGATGATATATTGTGTGGACGAGCAGTTACTATACTTTAAATTAGACCGGTAATGCCAGGCCATGCATGTAAATGCAGAGGAAATTTTCATTGCTCAAGATTCCTCAAAAAACAGCATTAGACAAAAAAAGAAAGCATGAGATACAGAAGAGACAAACGAGAGATACTGATAAGTATTACTGGCAAATCTGTGCCTGATGTGCCAAATGCATGGGATGGTTGTCAGAAGAGCACAAAGGTCTTTATTTTGGATAACATTTGTGAAAACTATTTTCCTATAAATTCTCCCACACCAACCTTGACCCTAGCTGGATTAAGGGGTTAAAGATGAATGAATGAATGAATTAATTAATTAATTAACCTCCCACACCAAATACATTGGGTTGTCACTGGTGAAATTGTTAAGCTATAGCAAAAAAAGTCTGCATTATAATGCTAAGGAAGCATCTTTTCAACATGAAGCTAATCTCTTCCTTTTCTGTAATTACTAGCCTACAATGCAACGACACTTCCAGAAATCCTGCCATAATAGATAACAGAATATTGTTTTACTTATTTATGGTCGGCAATGCCATTTTCCATGGGTTTTAGTAAGTATTGTGTGAGATAATATAAATCTTAGCCTCATAAGCTAGCAGCAGAGGTAACAATATAGCATAATAGCAACAGAAGTGGACTGCAAAATCTTTAAGTGCTCTGAAATAATGGTGAGTCAGGTTGAGTTCAGAGTGAAGGGATCGCGAACCCCAACCTGTATTTTTGGGGATCACAGGTCAAAAAGGTTAACGGAGATCCACTGGGCTACCTAACAGAACTTAACCACGTTTAAAACAGTATTTTAAACGTGTACTACTCATTGGTCAAGCAGAAATGGCCTGAGCAGGACAACGTAACCGTTATTTTGCTTTGTGCTTTCTATAAAGCCTTCAAAAACCTACAAGCCAAGATAAATGTAGCATACTAGGCTAACATATTTGGTGTATATACTCTGTTATTACACCTAAAATCAGGCTTTTGGTTGTGTCTCCACTCCCAAAAAATACTGAAGCCCATTGTTCCCAATGATTCTGTCTGAAAACAGATCATGCTAACCTCTCCCCAACAAGCCATCGCTAATTTTTAGCCAAGTTAGCTTGTTGGCTAACTGGCTCAACAGGGGTGCATGCCTTTTTAACTGTAACTAAGTAAGACAGAGAGAACCTGCAATATTTTGATTCTGACACAAGTATGTGCACGGATCTTTGCACAAGGCCTTGCTAAACAGGCCTGAGGTTGTTTTTTCAGTGTAACTGCCTTACTTCCTTCATTGATTAGTGACTGATGGGCCCAAATTAGCTATATATTATCTCAGTGCGCTCAAGCGGTTAAAAAGCTTCCACCGCATATTTTCCCGTCTACTGAAGAACTGAATCTACTGCGAATCGCATGACTACAAACTCTGTGTGGGCCCGTATGAGCTCTACGGCAAAAGCTGAGAAAATCTTTGTCACAATTAGTTTTTAACTGCATTTTTAAACTTTGGCCCAATTATCTCCCCAGTGTTAGTCACTGCCATTTCCCACTCGCTGCATGACTCTGCTCTATCCTACAGGCTGGCTAATTTAGGAGTGTGAAGGCACGTCCTTCTTCTGAAACATGTGAAGCAGCCACCACACCTCTTCCAACTGCTGCAACATCACAGAGCAGCTGAACACACTTAGATAACCCCCGTGATTGGCCAGTGCGTGCATTTAGATCTCTGAGGACATATCATCTTGTACTTTGCAATTATCATCCATATGAGCCTTCAATCTAAAGCCTTCTGAAATTTCAGAACTGCTACATTGCTCAACAGATACATGCATTGATGGGGGGGGGCTTGAGCCCCTTCCCTCCTGGACATATTTTATAAAGCCTTCCCCATTGTTCAAGATCAGTTTTAGTGCTCTGAGCCTCGTCGTACTAATAGAGCTAGTAATAAAGCACGGCAAATTCTTTAAAAATGTGTTACAGTGTGTAATGTGGTTATTTTGAACAACAACCTATTATAATATCGGTAGTAAGGTGTGCTAGTAACTTGCAATACCACTATTTTGTTATTGTAAAAAACAAGAATATTTATATATTTTTTGCGAGATTGTGTGGACTTTGAACACAACCCCAATTCCAAAAGTTGGGACGTTGTGTAAAATGTGAAAAAATTTAAATAAAAACAGATTGAAATAATTTGCAAATCACAGAGATCCATATTTTGTTCACAATAGAACATAGAACACATATCAGATGTTTTACCATTTCATAAAAAATATTAACTCATTTAGAGCTTGATGGCAGCAACGCATCTCAAAAAATTTGGGACAGGGGCACCAAAAGGCTGGAAAAGTATCATGATGCACATATGATGATGTCGTCCACCCAGCATGTTTGTTTTAACTGTGAATAAAGCTTTGGGAGGTAAACAGGACACCCACCGGATGTCTGTGAGCTCGTAGTAGACGTTGCGTGCATGGTCTTTGATGTAGATGGCCACACTGGGAGACTCCAGCATCTTCAGGGTGAGCTGCTGGGGGAAGGCACTGACGAACAGAGCTCTGACCGTGTCCACAGTTGTGACTTCATTGGGCATGAGCATCTGCCTGGTCTCCTCTCCATACTGAAGGTATAAAACACCTGCACAGAGGTACATATAGTTACACAGAGTTACTGCAAATTTGTGCTAATTATTTGTCTGCAGAGAAATTCTTTTAAAGGAACAGATTCTAAATGTTTTATTGTTTGAAAAAACACGCAGTTACGACTTCAGAAACCTGCCAGTATATCCAAAACCAAACAATTAACCAAAAATCTGTCGCTTGTCATAACACAGTCTGAAGATTATTTTATACAAAATATGGCAGATATCATCTGTTAAGGCTATTTTAAATTTTGATTACCCATTATTTGTGTTCTGTCGGCTAAATGGCCTATACTGGCTCCTTAGCCAAGTAATGGCGGGATCTTGCCTGGCCCCCGCAGATTGCCATTTGTGACTATATTTGTTAAGATCTCTTAGCAGCTCAGTGTGGTTTAGTACAGTCCACAGAAATGAACGGGCTCTGTAGAAAACAGCATCAGTTTCAAACAAAAACTAAGTTGTGGCTGCTTAGTTTGGTTGTCAACAATGATACTCTGTAAGAAGGCACACCCACCTATCCACACATCACTACACCACTGGATGTAACCTTCATGGTTGACAGCCGAAGCATGTTTCAGATCTATATCATGTCATGTGGGGCACTTCATAAAAATGAGGTTTGTAAGGAATGTAGAATAAGCAACCGTTTGCCAAGTCGGTGAAATGTTTGGAGAGAAGTGGTTTTGAGTAGAGCACTTAACTCTGTAACAGCAACCAGATGAAGATGAGACTTCTACAGACTTATAGATGCCCAGATATGCTGATATATCATCAGTACTGAGTTATAGAGAGCCTGTAAACAACAGCCCATGCATAGTAACTGCGTAAGCTGCATAAATTCAGGAAGCTGATTAGATGTCATCCCATTATGTAATATTTTATAATTTTATTTTTACCAAATGCTTGACTTTTCCCCTTGTTCCCCTTCAAAAGCACTTTTTAACGAGGTTTAGAGCTTTATAGTTCTAAATATCGTCATAGATATCAAGTATCACCAGGTTTTCATGCATGGTGATGTTATATTTTGGCTGTATCACTCATTCTTACCTACACACAGGCGAATAAGTAGACCAATGCAAGTAAAATAAATGCTCAATATGAGTCCTTTCTTCAGTCTGAGACTTAATAATGGCCAAGCTCAGGGCTTACCATGTAATTATCCATTTAAAGCCGTATTTTATTAACAGCAGTATCAGCTAAGTGGACGCTATGTGACGTGTGCAGAGCTGCCAGTCCATTAAAGAAACCTCAGCAGGATCTCAGCGGCTCGCCTTCAGCCGCAAGTAAACCTCTGACATTTTAAAGCTAAATCACAGCTATTCCAAGCTTCCACTCCAAATGGGTAACATGTGTCAGTTGTGTACCGGTCAGCAGCCTGAAGACCACTAAAATAACAGATTTCACATGGGTAGAATACAAATAATTGCCTTGCTTTGAAACATAGCCATATTTTTTGGTGTATCTTAAAGACTACTGTGTATATTAGCTATATAGGTCTGTTCTTTCTTTAAGGAATACCTGCTCAAGGGAGTTCTTAATGAGGACATTAAGCTGTGGAAGAAAGCTACAGCTGTGCTGTCCATTTCACTGCAGCATGACCGTCGTGGTGGAGAGCTGTGACTTGTTTTCATAGAAGGGGGTTCTCAACTCTCCCTTTTCACTTCCATTGCTCACTAGCAGCTCAACGCAACATTTCACAAACAGAGATCCAACAATGTCCCAATTGATCTGACAATTAATCTTACTACATTAATGTAAATATGAGTCCATTTCCATTCTATTGGTGAAATGGCCACTAGGGGGCCTGCAGAAAGAAATAAGATAAGCTAGCACCAGGTGGACATTGTCTACATTCTTAAAACTGGCAAAAAAAGTTTTTTTTTTTTCTAAATGATGCAATAGAAGAACTTTTTAAAGGGCTTCCACATAATGCAAAGGTTCTTAGCAAATCAAGATTTTTCCTGGTCCCACTTAGGAACCTTTAATCATAGGGCATGCCAATAAAATTGGGCATGTTAATTTCATTAGTAATGGGCAGAGATTTGGTCATTAGCATATCTAACACTCACAGATAAAGAGTTATCTGTGAGTGTAACTCACATATATGTCTTGGGTAGTAATCAATATAGATTAGCGCATTCTTTCGTTATTTTAAATATCCCATGTTAACAACCCTATGCATAGTGACGTTAAATCTAGTTCACTATGCACAACGCCAAGTGTCGTCTGGAGTGGTGTAAAGAACACCACCACTGGACTCTGCAGCTGTGAAACGTTATCTGGAGCAATGATCCACCCTTCACCATCACTATAATGCTCCACTAGACAACTGTATGCTTCCAACTTTCCAACTTCCCCAACTTGGGAAGGCCTATCCTGTTCCAGCATGACTGAGCCCCTGTGCACAAAGCGAGCTCCATAAAGACATGGTTTGACAAGTTTGTGGCGAAACTCCACAGGTCTGAGCCAAATTATTTGGTAACTACACAGCGAACAATACAAACTGACTGACCTGTTATTAAGTCATATAAGTAATGGAATAGAAGGTCTGCGAATATCAAGAGGTTTTAAGTGAAGATTTCTCATGATGTACTGGAGGTTCAAAATTTTAAATAAGCTGTGTAAGTAGACAGGAGTGATATGTTACCTAATGACCGGTCCTTGGTGTGGTTGCTGGATTTGACCGCAGGGAGGCTGGCCCTGGCACGGCTGCCCCTCATGAAGGCGGCAGGGGCTTCCCCCTCAGACATGGCCTCCAGAGACTCCAGAGAGGCCAGAGAGTGTTCCCCCTGCTCCACTACACCAGGCTGTTGGTTTCCACCATGAACAGGACCCCTAATCTAAAACACAAAACAATGAAAACAACTTTAGCTCACTAATTTAAATCTATGTTTCAATTCTTCAGTGATTCAGGTTGCAATGATAGTAATTTGTATTTTAAATTTTCCTGCTGCTTTCTTTTATAGTGAGAAACCATTTTTATAGTGAGAGTCCATTTAGATGCACTTTTGGCCACACAATGTATATAACAATTAAAAAAAGTAAAAAAAAGTAAAAAAAATAAGTACAGAGAATACACTTAATACACCATTAGTGTTTATTTGTTGTATATAACATATTAGGAAAAAAACACTTAAATAGATACAACCCCATTTCCAAAAAAGTTGGGACGCTGTGAAAAATACAAATAAAAAACAAAATGCAATGATGTGCAAATCATTTAAACCCTATATTTCATCAAAGACAACATGTCAAATGTTGAAACTGAGAAATTTTATTGTTTAGTTTGAAAAATATATGCCCATTTTGAATTTGATGCCAACAACACGTTCCAAAAAAGTTGGGACGAGGGCAACAAAAAGCTGGTAAAGTTGTGTAATGCTTAAAAAACACCTGGTGGTTAATTGGCAACAGGTCAGTAACATGATTGGGTATAAAATGAGCATCTCAGAGAGGCGGAGTCTTTCTGTAGTAAAGATGAGGAGGGGTTCACCACTCTGAAAGACTGCGTAGGCAAATAGTGCAACAATTCAAGAATAATGTTTCTCAACGTAAAATAGGAAAGAACTTTTGCTTTTCATCATCTACAGTACATAATATCATTAAAAGATTCTGAAAATGTGGAGAAATCTCTGTATGTAAGGGACAAGGCCAAAAAACAGTATTTGCTGGCCGTGATCTTTGGGCCCTCAGGCAGCACTGCATTAAAAACAGACATGATTCTGTAGTGGAAATCACTGCATGGGCTCAGAAACACTTCTGAAAAACACTGTCTGTGAAAACAGTTTGTCGCTGCATCTACAAATGCTAATTAAAACTCTTAAATGCAAAGAAGAAACAATATATATAGACAGGATCCAGAAATGCTGCCACCTTCTCTGGGCCCAAGCTCATTTAAAATGGACTGAGGCGAAGTGGAAAAGTGTCCTGTAGTCCGATGAATCAACATTTGAAATTCTTTTTGGAACTCATGGACGCTGTGTCCTCCGGGCCAAAGACCACTCAGCTTATTATCAGTGCACAGTTCAAAAGCCAGTATTAATGATTGTATAGGGGGGCATTAGTGCACATGGCATGAGTGATGTGCTCATCTGTGAAGGCACCATTAATGCTGAACAATATATACATGTTTTGGCGACATATGCTGCCATCCAGACGACGTCTTTTTCAGAGAAGGCCTTGATTATTTCAGCAAGACAATGTCAAACCACATTCTGCATGTTTTACAGCAGTATGGCTCTGTATTTAAAGAGTCCAGGCAGTAAACTGGCCTGCTTGCAGTTCAGACCGGTCACTACTGATAACATTTGGCACAATATAAAATGAAGAAAATGACAAAGGAGTCCCCGAACTGTTGAGCAGCTGAAATCCTGTGTTAAGCAAGAATGGGAAAACATTTCACTTTCAAAACTACAGCAGTGTCTCCTCAGTTCCCGAACGCTTACAGAGTGCTGTTAAATGAAGAGGTGATGAAACACAGTGGTAAACAGGCCCCCGTCCCAACTTTATTGGAACGTGTTGTTGGCATCAAATTCAAAATGGGCATATATTTTTCAAATAACAATAAAAGTTCTGAGTTTCAACATCTGATTTGTTGTCTTTGTACTATTTTCAATTAAATATAGGGTTTAAATGATTTGCACATCATTGAATTTAGTTTTTATTTAGATTTTTCACAGCATCCCAACTTTTTTGGAAATGGGGTTGAAGACAGGTAGGTAGGTATGTAGGTAGGTAGGTAGGCAGATTGGTGGGTAGGTAGGTAGGTAGGTAGGTAGATAGATAGATAACTATTTTCTGATGAGCTGATTTTAAGTAAGGACATTTAAAAACACTTTGTTTCGGGCCTGTTCAGCTGGCTGTGGGGTCACACAGGCTGTTTTTGTTGCCCTGGGAGACAGAGGAGATGTGAAGAAGAAGATCCAAGGTGACACACCCACTTAAGCAGACAGGAACTCTGTCCCATTGACTTCAATAGGAATGCACCATTTTGGCTTATTTTATATACGGTCTTGGATCAGTGTCACTGTAGTGCTGAGAATGCCCCCCCTCAAATAATACCTGCTCTGTGGTGGTCCTGACCATTGATGAACAGGTTAAAGGGGGGGCTAAGAAATTCTATTTTATATTAAACTGATCAATAAGTGTAGATACAAGGTAGGTGGTCAGTGAGTATCAGTGTGCATTATAGGAAACTCCATATGCTTTTGGTTGCTCTAAATTCCATGTGGGAAAATACAGTCCCACTGAAAGTCATCTGAGGAAACATGAGGAGAGAGGGAAAGAACAGAGAACCCAACATTCATTTCCTGCGCCTGATCCACAAGCATAAGAAAACGCAACGGCTGAAAAGCTTATTATACAAGGGATTTTTCCACTGATGATATTCTACTCTGTGCTCTGTTGATCATGTGGAAAGGTCAACAATAAAATGGCAAAGTTCTGTTCACGTAGCCGAAAGCACAGAGAACGGCCGGTTTCTTTCATTTTCCATTTCCATCAGTAGGACTGAATGACATGAACGAAGTACAAGCATTATGATTATATTATTACATATTTCAACACTTCGCAACATATTAAAATACCAATAATGCGACATGCTTCAACGTAGGCCTGCGTTTTTGACTAGGACTAATGATAATTCATCAATTAAACACAATTACTCTATTTGAAAAAGATTATTCATGATGAAGCAACAGTGATTAGTTGGTCATACGCATAATAATAATGCATATTTTCCATTCTTCTACTCTTCCCTAAAAACAGGGCCTGATTTACATTTATATGTGTTTGTATCACAGCGATTTTGATTTTTTTTATATATAAAATGTTTTACATGCTTCCTTGATTATGTTTTTCTTTAATTTTGATTGTCAGGCTTTTTTCCCCATGTACTTTATCCATCAAAACGAGTGTTCTGATTACTCAATTACGAATTACAGATGACAGCCCTAAATTACAAATTTATCTTTAATTTTTATTTAGTAAAAAATGATTTGATGTTTAAATTAAAGTCAGTTAATTGGCTGATATATATTTTAAATTTACAACTTCATATAGGAAGTTAAGAGGTTGTAAGACAGATTACGGTTCTATTAACTTACTATTATAAGTTTAGTTAAAGGCAAATTTCACAGATTTTGTTAAACATTTCTGTATAATTAAAGCATAAAGATGTAAACACAGTAGGAAAGTTTGTGTCTGTCAGCGCTCCATGAAGTTTAGGGAAAGCGGAGGGTTTTAATTTTATGTAAGCGTCCTGATGGGTCGTCGCCCCAGCACTTTAAAGGTGGTGGGTCAAATGCCCACGTGCCCCCCATGGTTCCGGCAGCTCTGTATTGTGCAACATCAATCCACAGGAAAGAGCAGATTTCTTGAAGTGACTAAATTCTTTTGGAGCTACGTCATGACGAGCTGTCATGCTAATTACCATCATCCTGTCTGAACAATGTAGTACAGGTGTCCACGCAGGGCGTGATCAAAACACGTTTAAGCAGTTTTTTATACAGCAGTCTTTTCTACCGGGCTCAAAAGGCCGGCCACCAAAGGTACAGCGGCAGCGTGCAGTGCAGTTCAGCACCGGAGGGTGACTCCTTGTTTTATTACACAGAATATACACAGCAACTGTCAACACGTCTTTAAGCCAATTACAGCTGAGCTTTGTCATCTGCTTCACAATAAAAAAGGAAAAACAAGTGATTTATATCCAGTGGCAGTGCAAATGATAAACATAGACACATGCTCACATTCAAACGCCACATCTTAATGTATTTTGGCTCAGTTCCTCAGCTACTGTGACTCTGCAGCTGATTGGTATTCATTATGTGACCAAGCCACAAATGCGCATCCTCATTATAATCATGTGGAAAAGGAAGGAAAGCGAGAGGCAACGTGAAGAAGATTCATCAGACGGAAAAACACGCATGAGCCCCGAGACATCGCTGCACCGTTAGCAGCACAGAGGAGCGACAGGCACAACCCACATACACCCTGAGTCACAGTGTGTCTCATCAGAACACCGCACACACACGGCCAACTGTTTTAGCACCTTTTGTGGTCCAGGCCAGAGATTTACATACACTATATGGCTAAAAGTGTGTGGACAGTATGTGTGGTATTCCAAACTTAGTGAAGGACATGTTTTCCAAGGATGTGAGTGAGTAAGTCTTCTACTGTCATCATGTCTTCATCAATAAAATGTTGATTTTGCATTTGAGACACTGGAGCCAGGCCATGGAGCTGGAGTTTCTTTTCGGATGACGTGGTTTGAAAAGTTCTGATCCAATTCTGACTAAATCTGACCCAAACGCTCTGACTTCTGAATAGAGTCAGGTTTTACAGGGTGACTGACAGCGGACACTGACTCAGTACTGCAACCCAACAACCCAACAAGTACATTGTTAACAAAGACGGTTCTTCACGGGCTCTTTAGTAAAGACGATGGTTCAATATAGAACTATGAACACTCAAAGAATCCTTTGCATGATTAAAAGGTTCTCTGCATCTTGAAAAGGTTCTTAAAATGTACTGTATATGGTTCTATACAGAACCTTTTAGAAGAGCACCAAAAACGTTTTTCCTACTGTTACAAGCTTGACATCGCAACAGTACCAGAATCCTTTTTGATGCTATATAGACCCTTTTCAAAGAGCCTCTGAATAGAACCATACACTCTTAAGAAAGACAGTGCTTCAAAGGTTCTTTAGTAAAAAAAAAAAATGGTTCTATATAGAACCATGAACACTCAAAGAACGATTTGCACAATTAAAAGGTTCTTTGCATTGCGAAATCGTTCTTCAGATTGATGGAGAATGTGCAGTTGATGGTTCTAAATAGCACT